TGAAAACTAACATTCAGAGATGATTACTAATATTTAACTAACCGAGACTGATACGTCGCTGGTTTATTGGCATTAAGATTGATGAAGCTCTACGAGTGACGTCGTAACAAGGTTTGAAGAGCTGTTTTGGAAAAGCACACCTATGACGTATGCCCGCGAGTTCAAAGACCAGCTCCATTCATCGCCTACTCAAGTTTAGTTACCCAGGTCATAAAACTCATAAACGGCGTGTATGACGTCACTCCTGCCGGCGCAGACCTTGAACCTGAGTGTCGGGGTACTACGCTACACGAAAACCGGAAAAGGGAGAAAATTACTATCAGAGACTCATTCATGAATTCCTCTCCTCGACTCGCTCTTGTTTACTTGCGGGCTCTCTGACGTCATCTTCCGCCCATTTCTAGCCTCACGGCCATGTTTGTTGCAGAAAAGAGGCAAAATAAAACCAAGGAATCCGAATTTTCACACGGGGTCCGAGGTCGTCGCACGCGGCTTAATCACCGCGCGCGCGATTTTCAAATATTTAGCGAGTCCAAAGTTCGATTTTTCGGAAATTCGGTTTTCGGCCGTTTCCTCGTTCTCTTAGATTCTAAGGCAGTTGTGAGAGGTCAAGCGACGCGTGACTTAAGTGCAAACATCTTGAGTTGCAATGTAAGGTCATGTGGTGCGATGTCAGTTGAAGCGGTCTGAGGAAGCATGCGGAGTATAGAGATAGCAACTCCGCAACAACCGCTCTATAGATCCGTAAATTTTGAAGAGAAAAAGAAAAGCTACAAATATTTAAGTAGACGCTCTCTTCCTGGCACATTTTCCGGCCTTGGTGAAACAAACTAGAATGGAACCAAACGAATTCCTGTTAAATATGTCCGGACAAGAATTCCTTGTTGAAAGAACAGGAAACTACACTTTATTCAAACTGCAGTCCTATTGTTTCAATGAAGATGTGAGGAGGCTTCCGGTTGACTTAACGAGAAAGTCTGTTGCAGCATTTTTAATATGTATACATTTCCCTCAGTGTAGATATACCTGAAGCTGTCGATTATAGCTCACCAGTAGTTCAGCGAATCAATAAAATCAAGTATCACAACAACGTGACAGATCTTTAAGCTTATTTACTTTCTCAACACTTTATTGCTCTCTTCACGCTCGCTGTTTTGTGTATCTTTTTGATACTCTCCTACTCCACCTGGTCTCCGCCCACGAATGGACACCACCAATGCGTGGTCAGTGACAACAGCTGCCAGCAAACTTGTTTATTCGAAGCGCATCCATTCAAAAAGCTGACCAAACACATACCGAATGAAGAGAACTTATTCTGTTTGAAAATTCTTATCTCGGTTGCCCTCATTTCCCACGATTCCTTCGATTCGTTGACAACGTGACGTCATGACGTGACGTCAATGCACTTTCTGAAGTGCAAGTGATCGTGAACCCATCTCAAGAATGTTATGCAATTTCGGCAGAATTTTACACTAAGCCGTGAAAAATTGCGTATCATGTTGACTGGGCATCTTATCTCTCGAAATATTATGTTTAACGCTCGGAAAATGATGAAATATCCCGATGAAAACCCTAGTTTTTTAAAAGGAGTGTTGTCTTCTTTCCTCTCTTCGTCATGGAAAACCTTTCTCAGAATATGCCCAATAATGTGTTGATTCAACTTCGAGAATCAGAGCTGATTTGACCGAATTTCCTAAAAACTCTGCAAAATTGTCTGCTTAACTTTAAAAGGGGTAAAATTATTGCCTTATATTCCGCAAAATGTTTTTTATTCTTTTTTTCGTGGCAATAATTTTTTGGTGTCATTACGAACTTTAACTTTCACACACAACAGAACGTTTCCTCCACTCTAGTTCTGTATAATCCAGATAAGCCGTTTGTTTAAATGGCTTAAATTAGTTTATATTTATACCCGTTGAATAAATGAAATTTGATAGTATAGGAATTACACTTATGTAATAAATGCATAAGAAGCGCTAATCTCTGTAGCACTTCTGCTTTTATTTTTACAGAGCGGAGCGTTCAAGTGCACGTTCAAGCAATACAACTTAAAAAACTTTTCATCTTTGACAAATCTCACACTAATCTTTAATTTAAAAAATTTGACGTCTCGATTATTTAAGGTGGATGAGCGTGGCTATCAATTTGCGAAACGATTCAAACTCATTTTCTCTGAAATGAAAAAAATATTTGTCTTCTTCATTTTACTGGATGAGATCACGCAATGCTCCTCGAGGATGAGGTGGCTCTCGAATACCATTTGAGAACACTTTGAGAATTCGTGATGGGTGGCATCTCGATGTTACTTCAAAAAAGTATGGGTCATCAAAACAATGAAAAAAATCAACAATCAGCGATTGATCATAGCGTTACAGCATTCTCCTAGGAATCACTGTTGAGACAGATTTTCGTGGAAATTTCAATATCGAAACACTATTCAACAGATTTCGTTCATCGTGGGCGACTGACCACTTAGTAGGCCACAAGATTATTCGGAAAGGTCAGTTTTCATCATGTCCAAGGATACTTCAAGGGGCATTAGGTTAAGAAAGCAATGGGTATAGCATTTAAGTAAACTTAAGGTAACTGAGCGGAATCAGGTATGAGATAATTGATTGGAAGAAATAATATATCATTATCTGTCCAAAAATGAATGAAACCAACCCAGATAGTAAAACAATTATAGTACAAGTATGCAAGAAAATCTAGATATAAAATTTGGAAATCAATAATAATGCGGCCAATAGCTATCGCTGTGAAACAAATAAAAGGAGGAAAGCAGTTCCATCATAATAGCAACATTTTCTTAATAAGTACTATAGTGTATTTAAAATTGAGAGCGACCCATCTTAAAAATGAAATTTAAAGTTGAGTCTATATTAGTCGACAAGTATTAAATATGAATGAAACAGGGAATGCTTTTTCAGAGATTTTTTGGAAATATTCCATCTAATTTCACTCAATGGCCCTATTCATTTTTTTCAAGAGAAACCAAACTACTTTTATTTTCTTTCACGGCCAACTTTTTTCTGCTATGATTTAGGAGTAAGTTTTCTAGAGACTTTTCAGTGCAATATTTTGATTTGTTTTTCTCAGAGAAGATAAAATCGAAGATGGAGATGTTTGAAGGCCGTGATTAAGATAATGCCGCAATACATCATTTATTCTTGCTCAGGTATCCCTGGAAGATTTGACAACTCTGCGAATAGGGCGCGAGCATGGGATTCAATCAGAGGAGATGAAGTGAAAAGTGTGTCAATTTTTACAAATCTCCGAGAGGAGTGTAGACGGCGCGTGACTACACCACTTATCAATTCGTAAGATTAATTACATTCGACCTGGCAAAACCACACAGCCGCAATTGATTCCTAACACCGAAAAGTCTTTTTCGCTCACCGGCTCTTACTGAAATCGTCACCGCGTACAAATTAGCCGAATTTTAAACGAGGATCAATACACTCTACTCTCCTGGACCGAGCCCTAGGTGCAAGGACCGTTGCGTTAGGGGCTTTGCGAATTTGCATAGAAAATCTGGAACATAGTCTTATCTTCTGTTATGTTAGCTTTTCCACTCGCAAGATTAAAGTTTGTACAAAGCGATTGGGAAACCTTGATCTAAATTTGTGGAAAATCGAAGCGAACACGTTTCAAGAAGGAGCTCAAAAGCATGACTTTCTAGTCGAACTTGAAACAGTCACGTTAAATGTTCGGAAATGCTTTGCGAGGAATAGTTATCAGATCCGTGTTGAGTCATGTTTACTAGATAATTGGACCGCAATGACAAGGTCGGGATGGGGATGATAATATTTTTATATTAATTTTTTTTTTGCACCATAAAGAGCAGTTAATGTGGTTTCTTCAGCATCGAGGATATTTCTTTTAAGTTAGAGGTCTAGGTGAAAAGTTTTCCTTACGTTTCATAAGCCGCTGAACTATCCTCATTGAAAATGAGTTACGTATAATTTCTCTACCTAAGTCTTAACATATTCACAAACACCAGAGAAAAAATTTAAAACCAGTAGTCAATATCCCCGTCAGAACAGAAGCAAAATGTTTAATAATACTAATAATCGTAATATTATAAATTATGAAATTAGGACGCTCACTTTACTATCGATCACCGCACTTGAATTGTTGTACGAATTTTTATCGCTAGCACACTCGCACAGATAATACTAGGCTTACATTTTGAGAAAGACCGAACTGTTTCAGAAAGTATAAAAATAAGGTTAAAGGATGTAAAGCATGAATTATGACAACCTCTATCTTATTTGTCAGTCATTTGCTCTTATTAATTGAGCCAGTGCTCCTTATTTTCGATCCTTACCAAACTAAAATTAATCGCGAGTTTTAGAGGCATAATTGGACTGAGTTAAACAGAAAGGAACCAACCCACATTTTGGAAAAAATTGAGTTATGAGTGGTTTTGAACTTAACCACTGCTCTACTATCTATCGCCAAAAATTCAACGTTTTTGTTGGAGCAAATTTTGCAGAAATTGAACTTGAAGTTTATCTTTTACATTGCGTCTTATGCAAGAGCCAAACTTTAAACCTCTTTTTCTCGGTTTGATCCCGATGTGGCTTGGTTCCGTTCTGTTTAACTCCGTCCAATTAATATATTTGTGCGCACATAATTTGAATCGTGTAAAATATATGCCAAATCAATTTTTAAACTTCATTGTATCCGAGGGAATAATTTTTGAATCGGTTATTAAATTTCATCATTTTCTCAAATCTAAATTGAATTTCATAGTTTTGGGGAAAAATATGGTGCGTAAATCAATACAAAGAAACCGGTTTTAGGTTAAAAATGCGATCATGAAGAAATCATAAAACTGTCATCAAATCACAGAGATGCTGGAGAGAGAGAAAGAGGGGGAAAATATTGAAAATAAAAAAATATTGAATATGAATTGCAATTCTGAATTTTTCATAAAATTTCCCATCGAAATGGACATATTTCTGAAAATAAGGAAATAAAGTAATAAGTTGACTAACCGTAGCCTTCGATGATGTTGGTGAGCTGGTCCCTGGGCCTGCCAGTGTACTCCTCCTTCCTGAAAGTCTCTCTGATGAGTTTATAGTCGCTGATGATGACGATGAGCTGATTGCCGACTTTGGTGGAGAAAAGGCCGCCGTACTTCTTGGCCAGGTCGGAGAACTGCAAATGCCGATCACTTGTCATAAAAGGTAAGTATCCGAGGAAAGGTACGCCCCAGGGGCCCGGCGGGAGCTTGCGGATCTGGTTCAACTCCGAGACCAACTTATAAATTGCCAGGATAGCAATAAAAATAAACAGATCCCGACTCCTCACCTCGTGCAGGATGTACAGAATCAAACTCTTAATGTACGACATCGTAAAACACAAACACACAAAAACACGAAGAACGAACAATTTAGTAACAAATAAAAATAATAAAAAAGGAACCGAGGGCTCGATCCGACGAAATTAGCGGTAATTATTTTTTTTTTTTTTTTCACCCGGTGGAAATTAATTCGTAAAAATCGGAGAGTCACAAATAATTTTCCGCACTATGAATGGATCGGAAAATTAGGAGAGAATAGTTTTTCTTTTCTTTTTTTTAAATTTGTATGCTTGGAATGAATTGAAGAAAGCTAAGTCGGTGCAGTTTAAATTCATAAATAGCGTTAAATCTCGAACGGCGTAAAGAGACGAGCACCGCGCGCGCGGTCGAAGCGAAGACGTGAAATGTAGGTTCTCTTGAGGATCATTACTGTCCGCTTCAGACTGAGACACATGTGTAATAAAGGGCTCGATATAGTGATATATATATATATTTATATGAATGGTGTATATGTATGCATGTGTGCGTACGTAAATAAATGTATATAGTACCTTGGACTACCTTGCCGCCGAGGAGGAGGGGAAGTGGTCTATTGTGATTTTTTACGGAGTGGGGGAGGGATGCTATCCACGTGGTTCGGTAGTACGACCGCCGCTCATTCTCGAGCTCATCCGCTAATCAGTCGCTGTCCAGCCGTTGCCCAGCGCCCGGCGAGCGTCTCTCTCACCGGCGAGGCGCCGGCCCCGCCGCCGCGTGTGTATTTTCCCACCGCCAAAATCCCGTTCCGCAATCGCTTTTTGGTTTTCCGTAAAGTCATACTTTCGAAGGTACTAGTTTTTTCTTACTCTCAAATTCATTTTGCACTTTTTCAAACTTTCCCACTCACTCGCAAATCCATGATTCTCTATGAACGACTCAAGCGTAAATTTTGTGAAAATCCACGAACGTTCATCTTAGGATCAGAGCTCAAATTTATCTCGTGTTTTTCATCGCAAATCTTGAACATATTTTCAGTTTTCATTCAATTATCCAAAGTTTGTTTTCCTAAATCAATGAGCAGTTTGGTTTTCGTAAAATTCTTGATTCTCTGAGGCGGCTCAGCGTATTTTCTTATTTTCCTCCCTCCTTTAAGGTGTTTTCTCTCTCTTTTTTTTTATTATTATAAATTGTATCTGTAAGAATTTTCCGGACAATTCTATTGGTCCTCACCTTAAAATCTATTAATTTTTGAAATCTTGTCAGTGCGTGGTTCATTCATCCTAACAGTACCTTCGAAAGATTGTCGTGATAAAACCTACAAACAAACAAAATTATGATTTTTCTTCCTCTGCATAATAAATGATTTTTCACCTCCAAATTCCTTCCCTTGTGTTTGTGAATTTTTCTGTTAACCAATGACGAATTTTGCACCCAATTTTGGTTAGTCCTTTTACCAAAGTGATCGGAATGCCTCAGTATGAAAAAAAAAACAAATTGATCTCTAAGTTCACTTTAACAGCAGACCATTCGAGAAAAATGTAAATTTATCACAGAGATTTCTTAAACATGTATTTTCCAGTTTTCTTAAAATGACGAAACTATAAATAAATAATGTTTACTTCAGAACATGTATTGCGTGCGAATTTTCAGACATAACATGTGTGATAGGATTGATTGTGATGAATTAAGATGGAATCAAGCATGATACATTTTTGAGGATAAAAATCTGCATGTATTGGAAAGTATTTGAAATTACTATCTTGAGGGTAACATTGCTCCCTTAAATTTTTCATAGTTTGTTGATTTTTTCATTTTGCTTGCCATTTACATTCTTATAAACTGGTCTATACATGTATGTATCTGATTCCGAATAAATCCAATTAGGTACAATCACACATGAAAATTAGAAAATACTTGGATATTCTCATAAGTAGGTTGCATTAGTTTTTGCCTCAAAATATATTGATCAGATTTATGGTTTCGTCGTCCCAAAATGTTTTGGAGATAGGTGGTTTAAAAAGGGGGGAGGGATGAACCGGGTCACCAACACATTCTCATAGAATTGAGAAGAAATAATTTATTTTTACATTCCATTATTTATCAGTTACAAGTTACTCAAAAATTTAGATTTCATCGTACAGAAAAATCTGTTTTTGTTGATTTTTCTGAAGATTTCAAGGAATTTATTTTGTGAGAAAGCAAATTAATGACTTCTATGTAAATCCTAAAAGTTGAACATGAAGCAAATAAACATTGAAATTTCAGACTTTGCCCCCACCCTAAAATTCCTTGTATAGCTACAGATTCTCTGCTTCATCCATGAACTATTGAGATAAACATATAATGTCAGATATTTGACCCAAAATTTGGGTCCCAAATTTAGTTACAATCACATCGAACTGAATCGGCAATGGCAAATAGTCCTTATAAAAATTTAGGTCACGAATTTACATTTAATTTCACACGGACAACGTATAGGTAATAAAAACAGTGAGAGGTTCGGTTACGCACACAATAAAAACTGAATTAAGAGTATTTCCTTCGATTTTCTCGTTTTGATTTGATCGTTCACGTTTTAGTATAGAACAATAATACTGCATAAACAGGTGCACTATTGGACCATGTGCACAGTTCCAACCAGTATCGGGTGTAATGGCGAGGTTCTACTTGGTGAGGCTCGCTTTGCACGGCAAAGATGCGGAGCCATGAAAACGCCTTCAAAAAAGTCGACGCAATATGCATTACCGAAGAGTTAAAATAGTTGCCTATTCGATGTTTGTAACTCGGTCGATGTCAAAACAATGGGCAGTGCATCTTATCTTAGAGGAAATTCTGGTTCAATCATCAATTAATGTTTTTTCCCAATAAGCTAATTTCTTTCTTTTAGGCACTAATAATCCCTTGGTTCATCCCAAATTTACCTGCGATTAAAAAGACGGAAATGAATGGGTATCTATGAGTAGGTCTTTCCATGACGGTATCTGTAAGAGCCACCAAAATGCCGAAATTTTTTTAAAAAGGAGCGGAAACCTTAGCAATGAAAAAAAGAGAAAAAAACCTTTTAAAACTTTTGTAAGTCAGTCAAAGAAAATCATCAAAATCACAGATAAAATATTCGTTTTCGGATATCTTTTTTTGTTAATTTTTAAAGGAAAATTTACGAGAGGTAAAATTTTAGTAAAATTCAAGTGAAAAAGTAAGAAGAAGCTCTTAAAATATCGACTGTAGTTTTTAGACACTAAAAACGTTTGAAAAAATGATGAATGACTTATGAAAAAGTAGTCATTCTTTGAAATACTCTTTTGAGTAAATTTCACCAAAAGTTTAATTTTACTTAAAATAATAGACCAAAAAGGGTTTCCTAAAAAGAACTTATGAACAGATTTTTTAGTGGTTTTTGGAAAATGTTTTTTAAAGTTCAACGCAGCCAGGATGCTGCTCTCGGAGGAGCAGCAGTCGCGACTAGCAGGGAGCCTAATCATACAGAATCAAGATTGAAAAAATCTCATCGAGCCTTTTGCGACCGAATAGAAAACTGTCATCATTGATCCATGTGGAGATCACAGCTAGTCTTCATCGAGAAAGTTTTTAAAACAAAATACCTAGGCAAAGTGCAATAGCTCCTCAAAAAAAAAAAACAAGCCCTGGGCCTCCTGAAAGTTGATTAAAACCATAGAACTATATCTCTCTTGTGGTTTTATGCGCACTCTCCTTATGGAGTACTGCGCCTTTTGCAGCAGCTTTGCTTCGGCTCTTTACCATTACAATGGTGCATGCTCGCAATGCCTCATGAGCTCCTTCCCACTTCCAGTTCGATGGGAAAATTCGATTTTTTTTTTCAATGGTCCTGGTACCTTTGTCAAAACGATACTACGGCAGAGGTAAACATATCGTAAGAGGAGTCGTCACATTCAACCCTTGCACACTAGGACTCTCCGCAATATTTAACATGGCCGACGCCAATCCGCCGAAACGCACGCAATGAGACGGGATTTAATCAATAGGCTTGTTTATTATTTTTACATTTTTCTTGCTCATATGCGTGGTGCATCCTTACTATTTGCGCGTAACGTCAGCCATATGTTGAATATTGTGTAGCATCCTCGTGCGCAAGGGTTGGATGAAACGATTCTTTTAATGAAATGTTCACATGTGCCGTAGTGTCGTTTTGAAGCGGGAAGCTCAGAAAAATGCATATTTCTTGCGCAGATTATGAAGTTTGCGGTGTAGACTTTTTCGATGCGCTCATCGTGATTTTGGAGCCATTATCGACAAAAAAATGCTTCCTTTTGCTGTAGCTGAAGTTTGAAACAGACCTATTGCTTCCTTTCAATTCTCCTCTAATCGGCTTCCTTGAACCGCTTCTAGGGTCGTTTTTATAGTCATTCCTTAGACATATTCTTTCTTCAGGTGCCCAATATAGTTGAAATTGAGATTGAAGGAGGCTTATGGTGATCTCTATCATGGTATGCATTAAAAGAATAGTCTCAAGTGTACAGTAAAATTCAACAGGATACTTGAAATTAGATCGTTGTAAGGGATACTATAATTATCTGCCACTTTAAAATTTAAACAAAAAAAATAATACAGGAAAAATTCTACGCCTTTGACAAACTTCAAGATTAGTACGACCTTACCTTGCGAAATTTTCAAAACCTGTAAAATCCTCTCTTTTGAATGTCTAATTATTCCGGGAGGAAATAGATTATAGGGACGTATTTCTGCCAAACGGAACTATGTGCATTACGACATGAGCCTTGTTATGCATGCATTCGTATGGGTCTCAGGGCTCATGTCTTCATGTACATAGTTCCCTTCGGCAGAAATACCTACGTCCATAGCATCTCCGAAGTAATCCTGTTGAGTTTTACACGAGAGTAGTTAAAATTTTCCTCTTTATGATGCTTTAATATAAAGGGTCTCCAGACACCACGCTTCATAACCATGTAAACTACATCGAGGCTGACCTTTCAAAAAAAATGAGAAAAAAGAAATAAAAGCGAATAAAGAAAAAAGAAAAAATGAAAAAAAGGAAAAAAGGAAATAAGAAGAAAAGGAAAAAAGAAAAAAGGAAAAAGGAAAAAAGAGGAAAAAATAAATACAAGAAGAAAAGAAAGAAAAGGAGAAAAGGAAAAAAGAAAGAGAGGAAAAAAGAAATGGACGCGATTCTTATGAGGCTGCTAAATGGATGGAGATGATTAAGGAAGGACTACAAATGCGGCCCTTAGGTGGCAACATCGGTTGAGGACTGGGGCGTCGGTGTCCCCAGCGGCAGCGGCGCTGGCGCGCGCGCGCGGTGCGACGCAGGTCGTTGACCGACCTAGTGAGAGTAGCTGACGACTCGTTTAACAGTATGCTGCAGGAGCAGAGGAATATTATAGGTGTATCGGCGGCGGCGGGGCGACTAGCAACTAATTCAGGCGCAGACCACTCACTCATCTAGTGTTTTAATTGTTATATAAACGCCCCGAGTC